TCTGGTCTCACTTGCCAGTGCTCTGTACTCAGCTTCCCTTGTGACCCACTCCAGCAAGTTGATCACTGACGATTGGTGTGCCACTTGATTCCCATAGACATTATTTCCATTGTTCAGACTTATGGCCTGTATACTGGGGCTCAGGTGTTGAACAGCACCATTGATTGTAGGCATTGGTTGCATCCATTCTGTTGACGGTGTTACCATTACATGATCATTACCATCACTGGACTGCACTTCACCATTACTCATTAGTCCCAGTTGAAGAGCCAGTACCTGCATTGGGTACCACAGCACTGTCAGTGTACATGTATGCAGAGGTCCAGCTAGTACTCCGTGACACATTTGTTACATGGCCTGCCTGTGTCACACTATGCTCAGTGGTGATGACCACTGATTGAGTGGTATAAATAGATGAATGAATCAGTGGTGGTAGCATTGGCCAAGTGGCACTTTCCATTTCAATTTCGGTGGAGAAACCCGACATGCCAACACTACCCTGCGCATTGCTGGTATTAGGATGTGGACTAGCATAGCATGTGCCTGACAATCCTGCACTGGTCACACTCGATCACTCAGCCTGCGCAGATGCATCATTAGGATTTCCATAATGCGGTTGCATGTGTTGCAACTCCGGGCAATCGCTATTCGAAGTACATGATCCCATGAATTCGTTAGCTTCTTGTTCAGCTCTTCATAATTCCTCTTCTAATACATTCATCTCTTCTTGAGTCGCTCGGACTCCGTTCTGATCCATTCCATTGGTGTACAGTTCTTCTAGCATTTCTAGTATCGAACGTACCTGGTTCCCTTCCAGCCGAAGTTGTTCTGTGGTGGAACGAACCCTCTCTGCCGACATCTCGTTGATATGCTCGCGCAGGCGTTTCCGTCGATTGGTAACGCCTCGCTTTGCAACCGCCTTCTCAATAGGTAGTTGTCTTTTCAATTCGTCATTGGTGGGTACACCACCCAAGTCGACTGTTGTTGACTCCATTGCTTGACAAGCACTGATGGGGTCCAAACCCACAGCCGAAAATGTAGTCACTGTTGACTACGAAACAAAAGGTCTAGGATCTACTCGCGAGCCATCCTCTGCTACCAGTTTGTTCGGAAGGCGCAAGCCCGACCCTTTCACAAATACCCCGTTCTCACACACAGTCTTCACACAGAGATCTGAGCTGTTTGAACTCCAAAGGAAACTAGGGATGACCATAGAGCAATACCTAACTGTTCTCTAGCAAGGCCTCTACTCAATCAACAACGTATGAGATACAAACTAGAGAACTTATACAGAATCTAACTAGGACTCTGGCAAGGGGGCCAGCTAGGAAGCTTTAGCTGGTGTCTATTGTGGGAAACAAGCAGCAGGCAGCAAAACGAATGCTTGACATCACTGGCCTGGTTTTCGGTTTTCGGATGATGTATCTACACATGTATTATCAGTGGTTAGAGCATCTCTGGCCTGAATCGAAGGTCCCTGCCTCAAGTCCTTCGAGTTTTTCTTCAGATTTTTTTCCCGTTTGTATCTTCCCCTCAACCCAATGAATGCCTATTATTGTGTACGTTCCAGAGGGAACTCACGACGGCCGCTGACGCGCGGTAAGTTTGGTGGGAGATGCAGCGCGTAACAGTGGGGTGGAGGGGATAAGTCTCACAAGTCAACACCACTGGTACAAGTGGCGTAAACCCGAAAACCCCTGGCTACGACTGTATCATTTGTGCCTAGTCACAAGTTCTCCGCTGATTACGGGTAGCAGAACGGTTGGAAAAAATCTTCTATACTACACTAGGACTACTGGAAAAGCAGACATTTTCGGTTGTGTAATATTTCCAGTATTCTCCAAAAGCGGCGGTTTGATGGAGGGAAGTTTTCGGTAAAACCCGTTTTCCAGGTACGTGTACAAGTACTAAAAGTATACAGTACCGGTAGTACTGAAATTTTCGGTGCGTTTTATTTTCAGTAAAAATTGTCGGCACCGAAGTGACCGAAAATAGAACATTACCGAAAATTTCTGCTTTTGCAGTATCCTATTCCGGGCACGTTGTACTCAGGCAAGTGGGGACCGGGCACAATGGACCCGGGCCCTTTGGACCCGTCCAAGTTGGACCTGAGCAAGTCGGACCTGGGCTCGTTGGGACAGGGTAAGTGGGAACCGGGCACTTTGGCCCTGGAATGTTGGACCCCGGCACGTTGTGAGTGGGAAGTTGGGACCCGGCACATCTGTACCAGGCAAACTGGACACGGACAGACACCCATGCGGAAATAGTCAGCAGGTGCACACTATATATTTCATGTACCAGTACATGACATATATAGTGTGCACCATGATGCTGGGAATGACACCACACATGAACACACACAACTGCTAAAGCACATGTGCTGTCCACGCACATACAACTTCCTTAGTATAATAATGTACGCATACTGAGAATCTCGCCTCAAAGTCTTCCCCTTATCTCCACTATGTCACTCTCCCTTTAGAGTACAGTGGCTTTTCCTAAGCACAAACAGCCTGCTAATCCTAGACCAGTATAATGTCACTCTCACATTGCACATCTTTCACCTACGTAGACAGCCGAAAACATGCAGAAAAATCCCGCCTTTTCCATGGCTTCCTCTGAATCCCATTCCTTTTCTGCCGCGCATCTTCCAGCTCAATAAAGCACTGCTGAAATCTGCCAGACTCATTTAGCCAGTGCGTCTTGGAGTTTTTTCATTCAGCTTCGATCGATCGTCCATTATACAAGTTGTGTTGTTGCCTTTGTAACGATTGTGACCCGACTGTGCCTAGATCTGTACATGAAAATTAGGGAACGGACTAGACTATGACTCTGAAAAGCCATTTCGTCAGCGTCCGACAGTGCTGTGGTTGGTATGATGTTCTGTCTCAATAGCGGAGCTCGGTCAGAGTGACCTTACCATCCAAATAAGGTCCATTGTGCGCTGAATAAAGTTTCTATTGAACTTTGGCCACACGCAATAGTTTTCTATGCTTCTCGTCACCACACTCTTACTCTTTTAAATATCTTGAGGGGAGGAGGGTTACACTTTACAAATTTATGATATGTACATGTATGTACGATCCTGCAGTCCAAATATTATACAATTACATCAGAGTACAGGAACCCATGTATCCCAATCAGTGCGTTTGCATTTGTCAGGCTGAGATTAGTGCCACACAGTTCTGTGGGGCACTCGAGAGAGTGTCCCCATTTCGCATTTCACAAGTGACCGCATTTTCAAGTGTTCGCGCATAGTAAAATGTACCGAAAATCAATAAAACCGCAATGGGCTGTCCTCGCATTTATATAGGTGTTTGTTTTCTGAGGTGTGTGAGAGGTGTTTTTTTTCTGAGGTGTGTGAAAGGTGTTTGTTTGCTCAGGTGTGTGAAAGGTGTTTGTTTTCTCAGGTGTGTGAAAGGTGTTTGTTTTCTCAGGTGTGTAAAGGTGTTTGTTTTCTCAGATGTGTGAAAGGTGTTTGTTTTCTCAGGTGTGTAAAGGTGTTTGTTTTCTTAGGTGTGTGAAAGTACAGGTGTGACCGTATCAGTTTGTAAGTATATGTGTATGTCTACTGCTACACACGTCTGCAGTCACTGATCCACTTGCTCAGGTCATTACCAGGATCAACTCAGTAGTGTTGGCCAACAACGCATGTGCATTGCTGAGGAGGTTATTATATACCTACTCTGTCATACTAGTGCACAAGTTAGGAAAGGCACAATGTACTGTCGTCGCCAAACAAAATCCGGCCAATGCTATGCTAAGCTAAGGGCAGCTGTAAGGTGCATGGGCTGTGCTCAACTCGACTGCAGCAGCAGGCTGGGCAGAGTCACGCAGCGCAGACTGCTCAGTCCTGTGCTGGTAGTCTGTAAATACATGCATGCCACGAAGGTGCCATGTCACCTGCTGACTGTATGAAGAACTGTTGGTGTGCCAGTGAACACGTACCATACCACTTACCAGTGACACTAGTGCACTGTATCCATGGTATTAGCCGGATTGTTTTGGTGACGACTGCATAAAAGACTAATCAAGGTATGAAAGGCCAACCTTTTTTTCGGTGATTTACGTTTTTCATTTCCTGACTTTTCCGATTCCTTTTTTTGTTTTGTTTTTATCGCCCTCTAGTGTACCTTAGTGTGTAATTTGCTGGCTAAAAACATAGGATAACTATTGTGACAGTGTGGCCTATAACTGTTATAATGTACCTTTTGGCCAGTTCAGTGCTGTCATTCCATATCTCTCCGTACTGCCACGGAGAAAAGGCGTAGCCACCCGTGCTGATTCCCACTACAGGCATACGCAGCCCGGGGACTGCAGCGTTCCGGAGCGGAACGGACGACACCTCCGCAGCTACCGCTCTGCCGACGAACACCATGGACTCTGGGTGGGCATTATCGTGTGGCCCTCCTCCCAACTGTGAGTTTGACGTGCCCAGGAGAATCAAAACGAGACAAAGGCAGTACGCAGAGGCCATGTTGCCAGCGACTATCACCAGATAAACTGGGTAAAGTGCCACAAACACTCTACTAAGGCCGCGGTCACACATGCACTTTTTTTGGCTGCGCCGCCAAACCGTAACTTACGGCGGAGGCGTAGTTACGCTTTGGCGGAAAGCTTGGATTTCGCTACGCCAGAAAAATGCGAGCGGAACCTCCGCGTTCGCGGATCAGCTTTGGCGGAACCTGCATAATGTTATGCAAAGTAAAGGCTACTGTCACTGATTCTGTGTTTGTGTGCCGCTACTGTTGTTGTTTGGTTGTCGTTTGGTACTGTCTTTGCGTGTAGACTGCCTGGGGATCTTCCCTGCATGTACTGGGGTCATGAAGTGTTTGTAGACTCTAGAGCTGAAAGAACTATTGCTGTTACTGTATTTCGAAGTAAAACCCGGTTTGATAAAAAGATGAAGAGGGATATTGATAAGTTCAAGTGGATTGCACAGAAGACGAAGACCTTTGTCCTGCCTCTTGTCCGAGATAGAGAAAAGGAGCGGACAGGAGCAGCTGTGGACAACGACGACGACGACGACAACGATCTTGACTGAGAGGATATTGTAAAGCGTGCCAAGTGGCCTCTTCTCAAGCGCTATTATGAGCTGTTGAATGCTCACCCCACCATGGGAATAGCCCTGGGCACGGACACCGCTAGAAGTAGCGAGGAGGAGGATTGTGACACCGGTGCTGATAGGAGTGCTGTTGCTGCTGATGCGAATGCTGATGCAGCTGGTTTAGTGCTCCAAGTTCAAGTGGAGGACGACGAAGTAGATGAAGCACTTCCCGTTCTGCTGGATGAAGACTACGGGGTAGGTGATGATGGACCTGGAAGCGAGCGCGATGTGCCACCCAGTAGCAGCGACAACGAAGATAACGAACAGGCCGTGTCTGAACAACCAGCAAGGGGTGTTAAAGCACAGGTAGCAGTGAGTGACGCACAGCAACACCCAACACCCAACACACCACCTACAAGAATTGTGCGTGCACGTACCCAAACAGTAACACCACCCCAGCAGGAGCAACAGCGGCAGTTCCTTGATGGAATGGGTGCTATTCTAGACGGTCAAGCGCAGCAAACTTTAGCCACCCAGGTGAGTTTAAATTTTGAAAATGTGCCCACGAATATATCTTTTTTTTAATCCACTGCAGTAACTACAGGTATGTAAATGTTTGGAATGTTTCATTGAAAACCGAACACTTCTCTACTCCCCAGTGGCCTGAATTTCTGTGTACCGTATTTTACGGCGTATAGACCACACTGGAGCATAAGCCCCAACAAGATTTTTATAACGAAATATAAACGACTTCCATACATTTCACGGTTCATTTCACCATAAAGCCGCTCCAACCTTTTTTGGTTGATGTCCAGTGTTTAAGCCCGGCTTTTACTCTGGAAATAGGGTACTTAATTTAACCCTTTGGGGTGCATCAGTCATTAACGACTGATATTAATGTAGCTCCATTCTTGTAACGTTCTTCGTCACTGTTAGGCGCTGCATCTGCAGCTGTATTATTGGGTGTTAGTGGCTGTCATGAGGTCCCTGGGGAACGGACACGACAGTTTACTTTCTTCTTCTTTTTTTGAATGACTGCAGACCCAGCTCCAGCAACAGCAACAGCAGTTTGAGGAGCGGATGAGGCAACAGCATGAAGACAAGGATGCCAGGGAACAGGAGCGCCATCAGCAGTTTGTTATGACTATGCAGCAATCCATGATGACATTCCAAGGTACTCTGATGCAGAACCACTTTGGAAGGAGGAGACGACACGCCAGCAGCAGCGACTCTGATTAAATGTGTTGGTCAAATCAGTGACTTATTTCAGAATAATCTCTCTGCGTTCATTACATTCTTGCTGACATGGCTATACAATAATTATACACGATGAAATGTACGACTAGCTGATTGTACATAATATGTCCGAATGCAGCTCTTTCAATGCCTATGCTGTGAACACTCAACATCTTAGGCACGCATATGATTCTTTCTAATTCCTAAGCTCCAGCTGTTTGTTGTTGCTGCCATGCCTGTCTCTACTAGTAGCTGCCGGTGGTAATGGTGTGCTAATTGCGTTTCTCAGTGGCGACTGATTAATGTATTGGTCAAATCAGTGACTGATTTCTGAATAATCTCTCTGCGTTAATAACATTCTTGCTGACATGCCTATACAATATACACGATGGGATGTACGACTAGCTGATTGTACATACAATGTCCGAATGCAGCTCTTTCAATGCCTATGCAGTGGACCCTCAACATCTTCGGCACGCAAATGATTCTTTCTAATTCCAAAGCTCAAGCTGTTTGTTATATTATTATTATTCCACAATTATATAGAAATTTATACCATTTGAATCTTTTATGCTACATGAGGAGACAATAGTAATGACATTTTTCCAATGAGCCCAATTTTATGACGCATCATTGGGATTGTAGAGCCCCATTCTCTAGGATCTGTCTACATCTTCTTTGTTTCAATGTCCAGCATAAGCGAACGTGTGGATTAAGCATAACTGCTTGGTTGACGTTGCCGCGGGAATGCGTATAATAGTAATAATACCGAGAGAGCTTGGAAGCTCAGGGCCCTGCGCTATGCTTTTTTGCTTTGATGACCTAGACAAAAAAAAGCATAGGGATGTTATAAATTCTTTTAAAAAAATCCTTTTTTTTTAACCTGGGATTCGAACCCGCACTATCGCGCGCCCTGCATGCATCCCCCGATACACTTCGCATACATACTAATTCTTCCAAGTTGTTTCACATTGTGATCTTGCATTTGAAAGCCCTATTTGAATATACATTGTGGCCAGCCATCTTTGATGGCACGGTACGGTAGGGAATAGGTACGGGACAGGTACGATCGAGGGTAATACGACACCGTCTAGCTGCCCGCAATATTCAAATAGGGCTTTCAAACGCAAGATTAACGTGAAGCAACTTGGAAGAATGGGTATGAATGCGAAGTGTATGGGGGAATGCATGCAGGGCGATAGTGCGGGTTCGAATCCCAGGATATGCCTGAAAAAAAAGGAGAATTGAAAAATTTATAACATCCTATGCTTTTTTGCCGTCAGATACGGATAGCGCCAGGCGTGACACAAACAAACAAACACACAAACAAACAAATACCAAATTAAAGCTGTGTGGACCCTGGCTAGCGCCAGACGTTACTGAAGTAACGTCTTCTGCATAGCTACGGGAATAATTCCACAATCACGATGACATAGTGCCAATAAACATGTGATGCAGGCGATTTTAACCAGCCATGGTGGGGAAAACTGAGAATAAACAGGCGAAAAGATAACACTGAAAACAAAACAAACGGAATACTAAAGGAACCTGGAGAAATCATTATGTAGATTAGGCTAGCAATGAAAAACAACGAAACTCTTGTCAATTCAACTTAGGTAGGCGTGTGCAGAATGGAACAAAATGCAGCATAGGTGTCGCAAGACTGCCTCCTGCGGAAGCCGAGGCCAATGAAAATAGGACTTGAAGATAGGGGATTATAAAAGGATCGATGATCTGGCAAATGGGAACTGGAGAGAACATCTAGTAGGCGAGCTATTATTGAACCAGGTTTTTAAATGTGCAAGTACGTGCGGAGGAGCAAGTTTTAGCTTAATACAGAAAATGAATTTGCATGCCGAGTGGGGAAAGCGTTCCGAGAGAGCTTGTTGCTGTCTAGCCCGTCTGTACTGGTAGCTGCCTGTGGTAATGGTGTAAAGAAACATGAACTAAGAAAGCAAAATGATTGTCTCAAAAGGAGATATTCGTCGTGGATTTCTATATGCGTTAGCTGGTTTAACTACTGCGAACATGCAGTGATAACATTGTAGTAGCATGATGCATGGAGTGCATGGTTGAGCTAGGGTTTACAACGGCATGTACATGATGTGTGCACTAAAGACAAAACTCCTCTATTTTATAACTATCAACTAGCATGTACATTGTAGGCATTATTGACATCATCACAATGAGTACCAATCATGGAGTACGGATCGCTCATAAATGGAAGCTTTGGATCACTGTAATAGCATTCTTCCATGCTGTTGACTTACACAAAGCCAAGTTTGCTCATGCGATGGGATCCTGCTGATGGGAATACTGAGCTAGCTTGTTGCGAATACTCAAGCCAGCCTGATCAAACTCCGCATTGGGCTGATCGTTCGGCCTAGCATGGTACTTGTCGTATGTTGCATCGTCGATGAGCCATGTTGCTTCCGCTGCACATCTCCAGCGCTCGCATACATTATGAATGGCACAGTAGACAATAGCTACACGACTGGCAAACTCTGGGTCATTCAAGTTATTGTGCACCAGGACCCTAAATAACCCTTTCAGCCTCCCAAACGCCTGCTCTACCACTCGCCTGGTACGGATTAGTCGATAGTTGAATGTCTGCTGCCAGGGAAGCAGGGCCGCATTGTCATCATGGCACTTCATGAGCGTGGCAGACAAAGGAAACGCAGAATCGCCAACAAGATACGGGCGAATGTATGAGCCTTTGATCGTGAACTTTTCAGTTCCAGTCTCCTTGATTGTAAGGCACTTCCGCTCACCAATCTTGCGTGCCAGCCGAGATGAAGCGTAAACACAAGCGTCACTGGCCGATCCAGCACGCCCAGCATTCACATTCAGGAACAAGCCGCATACATCAACTGTGCCTAGGATGATGATGGCAGAGTACTTCTTATAACACCAGTAGCAGTCTGCGAATTGCACCTGTGGCTTTTAGATTTTCATAAACGTTCCGTCCACAGCTCCTCCGCATCTCTCAAGCTTTGCTAAATCTTTAAATTCTTGCATGGTTTTCTTCAGCTCTTTCCCTTCTGGGAAGCGGATTGACCGTGCTGCCATGTCTTTAAACAAGATATCTACGGTTGAATATTGAATGAACGATGTGGACGGCGGTGGACTTGCCGATTGCGTACTGTCTCGCCAGTTCCCGGAAGGTAGGCCCATGTGCCAGCCAGTGCAACATGATGGCCAGTCGCTTGTGGCTAGGAATAGACGCTCTCCATTTTGTGTCCTTTCTTGCCAGCAGTCGTCCGAACTCCTCGTGAAATTGCCAAAATTCCTCCTTGCCCATTCGCAAATGATCAATATACTGCGCGTTTTCGAAATCCAGAACACGATAAATGCATAGTCATGAGCGGGTAGTTACGGAGGAAATCAGTCATCCAGACTCCTCGGCCCCTCAGCGCTGACCAGAAGCGACGCCGTTTCTTTCTTCCCAGAAGTGCGTCTGCATACGTACGAACTCCGAGGTTGGCAACTATGGGTATCCATGCTGGAATAGATGATGGAATATGCAGACAGTGAACGACTACTTCGCTGGACGGTCGTAGTGGAAGTGCCCATGTCGCACACATCTGAGGCTGTTTGACAGGACATTCAGTGCCATAAAGGCAGTAACAATTCTAACCTGTCTTCGGCGCTCACGATCCATGATTATTTCTACACAAACTTCGCTTCTTTAAACAATTTAATGGTGAAACTAGTTCACTCCGGGCTATCCAAGTGTCAATTCAAAGTTCTTTTCAAGATTGGTGAACACTAGATATCTGAAGACAATCAGGAACAAGTGTTGGTTTATATAGGCTATAGGTTGGAGACTGCTCCATTACATCGCAAGCCCGCCAGCTCTTGCAGCGACACGCCCAGCCAGAGCCATCGCACCCGCCATCGCGCCTGCCACACGTCGCCGCTCGGCAGCCAACCTTGCGCACGAGCTTCAATTCCAGACAGCCCTACCTGCCAGATCGTGCAATGTTGCGCTGCGCTCTTTCCCGGAGTGCCTCATCGAAGCCTGGAAAGAACTGCCAGCCACTCTCCTCCGCGATGCACCGTCTGCCAAAGGGATGCAGCAGTTCAAGGTTCAGACCTACCGCTACCTGAAACGGTCGGGTTGGTCATTGGCCACGGACATCGCCCCCTAGGCTACTGCCAGTACGACCCTGTTCATGTTCTCGGAGCACTCCCTTCTCATCAAACTCCCAATCCATCTGTCTTTATCTCTCTCTAACTCTCCTCCATTCTAACTCTAATCTTTCGTCAAATCTGCACGGCAATCAGCCTCTACTTTCGCCTCAGCATCATGATCTTGATACTGCTATATTTGTACTTGTTTGCATACTTGTTTGCACTCATATCTTGGAATAAAAAGTTTCCTGGTTTCCTACCCCCCCCCCCCCTCCTCTCTTTCCTACCCTTAGAATTCTTGCTCTCCTGCTCCCCTCCCCGCCCTTCCACTCCCCATTTTTGTTTCCTTTGGTGCACATGTGCAGCTGTGATGCCGAGACCCTTGGTCGGCTGAGCTTCACAGGTCCCACCCACTGCGTCCTGCTGGATATTTACCATTGTGTCGAGTTCTTCTCCTCATTTTAGTTCATCATGCAGTGAGTGTTCAATAGTAAAAAAAAAAAAAAAAAAAAAAAAAGACTGGAATAATAGAAGAGTATGCAAGGCAGTGTTGTGTTAGGCTCTTGGTTATCTGACGTTTGTTGTTTGGCAGGAGTGTTTGGATGCAAACAGAACTAAGGAAGGATGAGTTAAGGCTACATGGAGACCATAGAGTTGTGTGTGAGGAATATCTAACATCAAAAGGTCATGGTAATGATGCGTATTGAACTAAACTACCTGCCTCACCTACGTGCTTCACAAACAAACTTGGCTACTTGGCTACTTGTAGGTTGATGTGTGGTGTTTGCCTATCGTCAATAGGCAAACACTGTACAGTACACATCACCCCCCCCCCCCCTCGCCCCCTCGCCCCCCCCCCCTCCTAGTTTGCGTTGGGTGACCTGGTGACCAGGTGACCAGGAGGCCGACATGCACTACATGCAGGTGTGCCAGGGAAGCAAATACTACACATCTTGCTAGTTTGTTTTCGCAAACACCTAGGTGTAGGTGACGATAGGTACTACTAGTAACTAGTAAAAGTATGAAGTACGTGAATGCATTGTATTTTGACCCTAGAAGAAGCTAGTGGTAGTAGGTGCATGCAAGTAAGTCAAAATAGTGTTTGTTACGCGTCAAGGTGTGATAGCATGATGTGTACGTGCAAACAAATGTCATCATTGTCATCAAAAATCAATACGTGAGCAGCAGAGATTAGGGGTGAAATAATCATGCCGATACTTACGTTATGGTCGCACTCGATACTTGCAAGCCGTGCTTATCAAGTGCTGGGAAAGCTTTTCAGGCAGTGCAAATGCTGGAAACAGGCACTCCAAGCCACTCGCAACCCTAATCATGATATCTACGATGGAGAATCGGCAATTGAGATTCCAAGTGCTCTGGTATATGTGGCCTCATTATTCTGATGTGCT